CGCACAAAGGGTCAAAATTTTGAAAATCCCATAAAACACGAAATTAACATCCGATTTCATTAAGACTTGGTACATATGAATATTTATATCGGTACAAGATCCGTTATAAACGTGGTACAGGTCGGATTATTCCTTCTGGTACCTCCCCCACAAGGGGTCAACGTTTTGAATAATTAAAACGATTATAAAGACCCGAAAAAGCATCTGGGTCCCTTAGTATTACACACATCACAATATTTTAATTAACCCAGGTCAAAATTTTGAATATCCATTTAGCTCATAAACATCGAAATTAACATCAGATTCCATTCAAGACTTGGTATACCTCAATATTTCCACCAATACAAGATCTGTTATAAATATGGTAGAGATCGGACCATTTATTTGATACCTGCTCCAAATAGGGTTCAAGATTTTGAAAACCAAAACGCCCTAAGAAAGCAAAATAATCATACAACTCTCTTCAAATTTCACACTACAAACATTTTTGCTAACACATATTTTGGTACCTCACCCACAAAGGGTGACAATTTCCAATATTTTTATCTGTCATAACTTGCGAAAAAATTCAGCGATTCTGTACAACTTGCTATATCTAAATAAAATTTGATATAAATATGAAATTTATAGGAATTAATGATTTCGCATAAAATTGGATATTTTCGATTTCGATTTTCTTGCAATTTTGCCTATGCCAATATTTTTATCTGTATTAGCTGAGGTATGAAAATGGAATACTGCGGACCACTATATTTGGTACCTCACACATACTTCAACATTTTTCAAAAATTATCGCATATCTCATTTAAAGTGAAGGAAGTAGTTGATATAGTCCAAATCTGGCATGTCGCAATATTTTTATCATATTTATTAGGTTCGATACGAAATGGACAATATTGGACCATTCCCTCGGAACCTAGTCCATAGATTATAATTTAAGTTATTAAATTTGTTCCAAAATCGGTGGATCAAAGATCATGGATTCCTTAAACAAAACTCAATTCAAATCGGCTAAAACTACCCTTCGACTACCCTTGTTCAACATGTCTTCCTTCTCCATTTCCGTGTCTATTCTGAAATCTGTAAATAAGCCCGGATTTCCACCTTATATTGATCATAAGCAGCTATTCTGGATTTCATCATACATTGATCTTCGGGTAATGGTATCATCTTGAACATTTCACTATTCAATATTAGGTTTTCCACAATAATGTCATGCTGGAAATAGGGAGAGAAGTATCATCACTCACTCATACACCAGCAATCCAATCGAACTTACATCAAACGGACATGTGTGATTTATGTTCGAAGAGGGCGCAACAATGCTGAAGAAGACAATTTTCCAAAATATAAAACGATTGGAATTTTTGTAGAAACGGCAAAAATCCAAGGTGTCGTTGTACATAAAGGGACGATAGCCATTGTTGCCCTTGCGGCATTGACCTGGAAAAAAGGGGGCGTGGTGAATTAAATTAGAAAATTAATTGAATTAAAATTTAAAATTCCTTACCTTTACGGAACCTTATGCAGGGCCACATGAAAACTAAAGGCGGAGGTATAACGGGACAAGGCCATCAGAAGACATTTCGGAACTGTGGCAAAGGGTTTGTCAAATTCCAGGCATTCAACCCGGGTAATTTTGACTTTCAATGCTAACGCAATGCTGAAACTTGTTAGGAACAAAGTCAAAATCAGATAGCCTTTCATGGCAAATGAATGGGTCGGAATCAAGTGGGCACTAAAATTAAATGAAATAAATTAAAAAAAAAAAATAATTAAAAAAAAAAAAACTGTAAATGGAATATTTTCAATATAAGTATTTATGATGCCGATTTTTACGCCTGAATAAACCTTGTTATGTATTTAATTGAATTGTTCCAATTATGGAGATAATCTATTCAATAACAAATATTTGGGGGTATGGCGGAAGGGGGCAGTTAGCATACAGTGCTATGTAATTGTAATTGGATAAAGGGAAGGTTCCCTATCATTAGAAAGTATCTAAAGAGACATTCTCCCTATTAAAAATTTCTTGAGATTTCCCCTAACTACGAAATGTTTACTCTTGGAAAACATCTATTTATAGGAAAGCTTTTTAAAAATTTCCGGTTTTCTTTGGAAATCCGTTACCTCAGAGCGCGCTCTCTCTGTCTCTCCCCTCTCTCTCTCTCTGTATAGGAAACTTTGTGTATCAATGTAGGGCCTCTTGATACTCTTGCTATCACTGGAAGATCTATTCAAAGTCCTTCTACCTTTAGAAAGCCTACTGAAGAACCTGTTTTCCAATACAAGACCCCTTGAGACCTGTTCAATCTGATGAATATTTCCTGGAAGGATTTATATTTATAAAATAAATAAAATTTCCTTTTTATGAATAACTCTAAAAGGGGTTTCTATCTCTGAATAAAATTCCTCTGCCTGTGGTAGACTTGTTGCAAGGTCCTTCCTCTACCTAGAGAAGCCTTTCTCTTGGAAAATGTTAATTTAAAGAAGACCTCATCAAAACTGGACTTTAGAAGATCTTATCAAAGTTCTTATTTTTTTTTTTTTTTTTTTTTTTGATAGAAGACCTCTTGAGAGGCATTCCATGTTCCTTTTCATGGACCTTCCTTCAATGGTTCGACGTAATGATGACGTTTTTAAGGGAGCCTTTTTTCTATGTAAAAGGGCTTTTTTAAATTAGACTTCTTGAGAGGCTCTATACAAGGTTAGGTTAAAAGATGATTAATCACAATTGCAACCTTCCCACCTCACTCAGAGACCTTTCGGTCCTCACTCGGATATATTTCCATTGTGATCATCCTGCGTGAGAAAGGTATGGAAGAAGTAATAAAAGTTGAGAGAGAGATGAAATCTGATAGATATTTGTAGAGAAGTAGAGAGGCGCCAGAGCCAATAAAGCCTTTTTGAGAAGATATAGATGACAAGGAGATCCGTATCTGAATGTATACCAGGCTTGCTTACAATATATGTTGCCCTGCCAAATCAATGGCACATGAAAATCGAGAGAGAATACGTGTGCTTTGTTTACACTTTTTCGTTCGAGGCTGCTCATAGCTGATGTACACTGAGATCATGCGGCGAAGGTTCCCCCATAGCTCGTAGTCTTTTCCTTGAAATAGGTGGGCAATGGTTTTATACCTCAGGACTGCTTCGGAATTGATTGTAGAAGAAATGTCTAAAAATGGGAAACCTATCGAGGACATTCCAATTGGAGAATACCTCTCGAGCGGTCATATATCTGTAGAACCCCTTCTGTCACACATTAATTCTATGGAAGATCTTTTAAGAGTACTCCACAAGATAGAAGAGGCCATTAATTTATTTAAGATCCTTTGAGAAACCTTGTGCCAGACCTGTAGTCAGAGCTTCTATCAGACCTACTATTTATAAATATTCTCTTGAAAAGTTTTCTCTTTCTGTAGAAGATTTCTTGGAGGACCCTTCTATTACCCTTCTACTTATAGAATACAGGGTTGCCCATATTCGACGGACCTTTGGGCCCATTCCAATCGACGAGGCTTCTCCGCAGGCAACATTCTTTGCGTAAATTGAATTTTGTACGGGAACAAATGCAAATCAATGCGAATAATCCGTTGTAAAGTGGACCGAGCCATGCCCAACTGCTGAGAACGGCGTTTTTGGGGACCTCTCAACACTGGCTCGTACGGCAGCGATATTCTCGGCCGATCGCCTTGGTCGACTTTTATATGTTTGTATGTGTTTTGGTAAAAATCTGCTTGGACTGACGCTTCAAACGCGGCATGTCATTAAACGATGTGACATCTCTGTCAAAAGTTATGGCGTTGCCAGATGGGTCCGTCGAATATGGGCAACCCTGTACTACATGGAAAGCATTCTACATGCACAGGATCTCTTTTGAAGTCTTCTATAAAGGACACCTGTAGAGGCTTTCTATACATAGATGGTACCTTCAGAAGACTTTAGCTCTCTCTCCACCAAACATTCTCTTTATTATCTACAATCTACATCGGGTCTGACCACAGAGTGTCAACTCCCAAAAATATGTATGCCTGTGGACAGATTTATGATCGCTGAGAGTTGGCGTGCCTTATGACTGTATTTAAAAGGAGACACTCCCCCTCTCTCTTTTTGAATTTATAAGGGAGTAAAATCGCCTTTATTGCAATTGTTCCTTCTTTATTACACCTCTGCCATTTGTAGACCAGCCATGATTTTGGCCTTAATAAGATTGTATGCCGCACCTTTCAAATTTGCCATATAATCATCGTGCATGCCTCGTTTTCAATCTTTAGTCAGATCTTCTATTACATATTCCGGAGAACTTCTATTTACAGAAATCCTCTTGAAAGTACTTATTTTTGTAGAAGATTTCTTGGGGAAATCTCTGTGTATACAAGACTCCTTAAAAGAATTCTACATAAACAAGATCTCTTGTGGAGCTATCTAAATGGACCTGCTATAGAGGACACTTGAGAGGCTTCATATACGTAGATCACCCCTGCTTAAAAACAAGAGCCTGCTCACTAGACAATTTCTCTTTGCTTTTTTAGAACTCATCAACAAATTTATTTATTTCGTTACTGTTAATTATTAGCTTCACTAAAACCTTTGGATCAACTTCACATTTAAAAAGAATTTTAAAAAAATATTAGAATTTAAAATAAAATAGAATATACATTTTCTCTTCAATCTTCTCTTTTACGGACTCATGTGCTAGCTCATGGTTTTGAGCAGTGCTGACGTTGATAGTCTGTTGATCTCCCTTATTTTTTTTTACCTATATTTTATACCAGAGCTGGAAAGAGAATATGTTCTCCTAATTGTATTACTCTCTGTTTACATTATTTTGCCATTTTTCTCAAATTATTTGTGCGTGTGGACTCCACACTGTGGAGATATTTATGCTAGCTGAGAGCACGCCTGCCTTGCCGCTGTGTTTCAAACGAGACACTCTCAATTTCTCTTTATCAATATATAAGAGAGTAAATAATTAAATTTTATTTAAAATTTTCCTCTTTTATTACACCCATGTCATTTATTCAGATATTTGTAGATATGCCTTGATTTCGGCCTTAAAATGATTGTAAGCAGCAACTTTTACCTTTGCCATATACTCATCTGCCGGAAATGGGATCATTTTGAACATTTCACTATCTAGAATTAGTTTCTCCACAATAATGTCGTGCTAGAACCAAAAAGAAGAGACAATTAAGAAAAAACACACACGCAACCAATCGAACTTACATCAAACGGACATGTGTGATTGATGTTCGAAGACGGCGCTATGATGTTGAAGAAGACAATTTTCCAAAATATAAAACGATTTGGATTTTTATAAAAACTGCAAAAATCCACCGTGTTGTTGTACATGAACAGCCGATAGCCGTTGTTGCCCTTGCGAAAGAAGGCGGCATTGAACTGAAAGGGGGAGGAAAAAATATATGTTATTTGTATAAATATTTTCTGTGTAAATTTCCTTACCGACACATTGGTAACCGGAACCTGATGCAGAGCCACATGAAGGCTAAACGCCGATCGATAACGGGACAGGGCCTTCAAATAACATTTCGGTATTGTGGCAAAGGCTTTGTCAAATTCCAGGCATTCAACCCGAGTCAATTTGGCTTTCAATGCATAGGCCAAACTCAAAATCGTAAAGGTCAGAGTCAACGTTACGTAGCCCCTCATGGCAAACGACTGAGGGAACACATAATCGGATTGAGCTGGCTTTGAAATTAGTTTGAATCACTGCTACATAATTTTGTAATGAAATAAATAAATATTTACAAAAATATGAACTTCCATGGCCGAATGACTTTTGTTTTGTATTTTATTGAAATTGTTTAATTGATTTTTTTTTCGGAGATATGATTGAAGATTAAATTTTGTGGGAAGGGCAGATATTACCACAAATTTCCATTGTAAATGAAAAGAATTGATTTTAGTTTTTGAAAAAAAAGTTGAAATTTGATTTTGTTTTTGGGGCGGAACAATGGTAAATTTTATACCGTTCAGTTGAATGTTGTAAATACCGATTGTCCGAAGCTAGGAATTTGTAGATCTCTTTATTATGTTGAGCGAAAAATTAAAAAAAGGGAAACAGGGGGAATCCTCGGACACCCTGACCTCCAGTTATTTTGATTTCCTGGCCTCCAGCTCATCTAGTTAGACTTAGAGTGGGCCTTTATAGATACCCCTGGCCTCCAGTGGGCCTTTATAGATACCCCTGGCATCCAATGAGTCTTTATAGACCCCCTGGCCTCTAGTGGGCCTTTATAGATACCCCTGGCCACAATTGGGTCTTTATAGACCCCCCTGGCCTCCAGTGGATCTATACAGATCCCCTGGCCTCTAGTGGGCCTTTATAGACCCCCTGGCCTCCAGTGGGCCTTTATAGACCTCCTGGCCTCTAGCGGGACTTCAGACCTACTGGCCTCCAGTGGGTCTTTATAGACTCCCTGGCCTCCATATCGTCTATAAAGACTCCCTGATCTCCAGTTGGCCTTTATAGACCTCCTGGCTTCTAGCGGGACTTCATAGACCCCCTGGCCACCAGTGGGTCTTTATAGACCCCCTGGCATCTTGTGGGCCTTTATAGATACCCCTGGCCTCCAGTGGGTCTTTATAGACTCCCTGGCCTCCATATCGTCTATAAAGACTCCCTGGCCTCCAGTGGGCCTTTATAGACCTCCTGGCCTCCAGTGGGCCTTTGGAACTCCCTGGCCTCCAAAGGTTCTTTGTAGACCCCCTGGCCTCCAATGGTTCTTTGTAGACCCCCTGGCCTCCAATGGTTCTTTATAGACCCCCTGGCCTCCAGTGGGTCTTTATAGACTCCCTGGCCTCCATATCGTCTATAAAGACTCCCTGACCTCCAGTGGGCCTTTATAGACCTCCTGGCTTCTAGCGGGACTTCATAGACCCCCTGCCCTCCAGTGGGTCTTTATAGACCCCCTGGCCTCCAATGGTTCTTTGTAGACCCCCTGGCCTCCAATGGTTCTTTATAGACCCCCTGACCTCCAGCGGTTCTTTATAGACCCCCTTGCCTCTAGTGGGTCTTTATAGACCTCCTGGCCTCCAGTGGGTCTTTATAGACTCCCTGGCCTCCATATCGTCTATAAAGACTCCCTGGCCTCCAGTGGGCCTTTGGGACTCCCTGGCCTCCAGTGGGTCTTTATATTTAGACTTCCTTCAACTCGTCTATAAAAACTCTCTGGCCTCACCAGCTCATCTATAAAAACTCTCTGGCCTCACCAGCTCGTCTATAAAGACTCTCTGGCCTCGCCGGCTCGTCTATAAAGACTCTCTGGCCTCGCCGGCTCGTCTATAAAGACTTTCTGGCCTCGCCGGCTCGTCTATAAAGACTCTCTGGCCTCGCCGGCTCGTCTATAAAGACTCTCTGGCCTTGCCGGCTCGTCTATAAAGACTCGATCATCTCCAGGTCGACCATATGGACTCCCCCGCCTCCAGCTCGTCTATATAGACTCTCTGGTCACCAGCTCGTCTATAAAGACTTCCTGGCCTCCAGCTCTTCTATATAGATTCCCTGGCCTCCAGGTTGTCTATATAGACTCCATGGGCTCCAGCTAGTCTATATGGACTCCCTGACCTCCAGGTCTTCTATTTGGAATCCCTGGTCTTCAACTGGTCTATTTAGACTTTCTGCCCTTCAGATCTTCTATAAAGACCCCTGACCTCCAACTTGTCTTTATTAACTCCCCGGCTCCCAACGCGTCTATAAAAACTCTCGGGCCTCGCCACCCCGTCTTTAAAGACTCTCGGGCCACCAGCTCGCCTATAAAGACTCTCTGGCCTCGGGCTCGCCTATAAAGAGTCCCTGGCCTCCAGCATGCCTATAAAGACTCCCTGGCCTCCAGCTCGTCTATAAAGACTCCCTGGCCTCCAGCTCGTCTATGAAGACTCCCTGGCCTCCAGCTCGTCTATGAAGACTCCCTGGCCTCCAGCTCGTCTATGAAGACTCCCTGGCCTCCAGCTCGTCTATGAAGACTCCCTGGCCTCCAGCTCGTCTATGAAGACTCTCTGGCCACCAGCTCGTCTATGAAGACTCCCTGGCCTCCAGCTCGTCTGTAAAGACTCCCTGGCCTCCAGCTCGTCTGTAAAGACTCCCTGGCCTCCAGCTCGACTATTTAGACTCTCTGGCCTCGCCAGCTCGTCTATAAGGACCCCCTGAACAGTCCAGCTCGTCTATAAGGACCCTCTGGCCACCAGCTCGACTATTTAGACTCTCTGGCCACCAGCTGGACTATGAAGACTCTCTGGCCTCCAGCTGGTCTATAAAGACCCTCTGGCCTTCGGATCGTCTATAATAACTCTCTGGCCTCTAGCTCGCCTATAAGACTCCCTAGCCTCCAGCTTGTCTATAAAGACTCTCTGGCCTCCAGCTCGTTTATATGGGCCCCCTCGCCTCCAGTTCGTCTTTATGAACTCCCTGGCCTCCAGCTTGTCTATGCAGACTCCTTGGACTCCAGCTCGTCTTTATGAACTCCCCGGCTCCCAGTGCGTCTATTTAGACTCCCTGGCCCCCAGCTTGTGTATTTGGAGTCCCTGGCTTCCAGCTCGTCTATATGGACTACCTGGCCTCCAGCTGATCCTCATGGACTCTCTGATCTTTTTTTTTTTTTGATACGACAACTGTTTTTCTTTATTTTATTAAATGCCATATGTTTTGTTTATTTTTGTTATTGCTTTGTTTTTATTCAAACCTTGTCCTCCTTCACCAAAATATATGCCCTGATCTCTGCCTTGTAGTGATTGTAGGCGCCCACCTTAAAGCTGAACATGTACTCGTCATCGGCAAATGGTATGAGATTGAACATTTCACTATCCAATATCAAATTCTCACAGATGATGTCATGCTGGGTAGGAGAGAAGATTTTTTCAAAATTTTATAAAAAACAATTAAATTCAAATTTTTTATAAAATTAACTCTCAACTTACATCGAATGGACAGGTGTGATTTATGTTGGAGAATGGCAAAATTAAATTGGTGAATACTATTTTCCAAAACATAAAACGATTTGGATTCTTGAGAAAGGCACAGAAATCCAGAGTGTTGTTGTACATGAACAGGCGATAGCCGTTGCTGCCCTTGCGAAAGAATCGCGCATTGACCTTGAGAGTAGAAAAAAATATTCGATATATGAAAGAGACATTTTGAAATGTTTGCCTTTTCTCTTACCGAAACATTATTTACCGGAACCTGATGCAGGGCCACATGTACAAACAGCGCCGATCTATAACGGGAGAGGGCCTTCAGTTGGCATTTCTTAATTGTGGCAAAGGGCTTGTCGAGTTCGAAACACTCGAGTTTGGTAAATTTCACTTTCCTGGACTGGGCTTTGTGAAAAACTATTAAAGCGATCACCCAAAGGAGATAGAATTTCATATTCGTTGCTGCGCGGAATCGTAGCGAACTGAGCTGTAAATGAAACCTAATTATCAAAATGGTAATTCAAAAACACCTTTACCCAGCCAAATGAATTTTTAATTATTTTATTTTTTTTTTCAAACGGGCCACGATTTGATATCTTTTCATGGACATAATTAATTTAAAAAAAAAGAATCTACGGCAAACATTAGCCGGAATATTTCATATTAATTACCTTGATTTTTTTTCTAAAAATTGATTTTCCGATAAGGCATTAGTTACATGGATTACAGGTGATATAGAAGACATTTGAAGGTACCCTATATGGGAAAATCTCAGATATAGAGCTTTATATGGTTCGTCAGTTCCAAGAGTTTATAACATTTCAAGGGCAATGGTGTATTTTTATTTTATTTATTTATTTATTTATTATTATTTTTTTTTTTTGAGATATGGCAAAAGCGATCATTTTTTATGAATAGAATGGGGGTGGGTTCCTAATGGGTTAATTTAATTAATTTAATTCTTTAGAAGTTCCATAGAAGGAATTGCATCTATAGAAGAGCTTATGAGCGACTTTCATGTATGGAACATCATGTGCCTACAGAGGAGGTCCTTTAAAGAGGCAGAAAAACAAATTTAGATCAAATTACAAAAAAATTGAAAAATATCAGCTGACTTTTTCCCGTTTCTCAAACTCTCTTAAACGAATTACATGAAAAACATCAATTCCCAACCGGAAAACAAACTCCACGAGATATAACTTTCTACATGACACATTTGTAGCATTTGGCTGTGGGATCAGTTTCCAACCAACTTTTTTCACACTCATGTGGTCATTAACAAATTTAGTGGCAAATAAAGTTTAACAAAAAAAGAAAAAAAATACACTGAAAAAAATATGAAAGAAATTGCCAAGAATTAAAATTTAAAAAATTTTTCAAATTTTTGGAAAATTTGACTTTTAGGCGTCAACTCGAAAAAAAGTCCTTGGAAAAAATCATCAGAAATAGAGGGAATATTTCAATTTTTTTTTTTTTTTTTTTTGAACATCTGTTCACATATTTTTTCGATATGCAATGGAAATACAAATTTCTTGTCCTCGGTGACTTATAGTAAAATTTAATGAAGAATACTTTTGTATTTTATGTAATCCTTCTACAATAATGCCTTGTTGGAGATTTTCAAAGGTAATTAGCAGTAAAAAAAATCAAAGTCATAATTTTCACTTTTAGTTCATAAATTTCGAATGTTATTTTCTTAAAAACTATTGTACCTAGTCATACGGTTTATTTCGAGTCTTATCGGGAAATCTTATATAGCATATTTCTTCTGTTAAAAAATTTTACCTAAAACGTCTTTTTATTTTACTTTCAGGCATAAACTTGAAAAAGGTCGAAAAAATTTTCCAAAACATTAGGAAAAATTTTTGGAATTTTTTTTGGAACATTGATGCAAATATTCTTTCGATATACAATGGAAAAAGAAATTTTCTGTCTTCGGTGGCTTATAGTGAAATTTGATAAAGAATATTTTTGTCTTTGACGTCATCCTTCTATAATGATGTCTTGTCGGAGATTTTCAAAGAAAATTAGAAGTAAAAGAAGACAAAGACATAATTTTCTCTTTTAGTTCATAAATTTCGAATGTAATTTTCATAAAAATTGTTGTAACTAGACATATGATTTATTCCACGATCTGTCAGGACATTTTGTATAGAATATTTCTTCTTTTAAAACTTTCTGGTTGAAATGAACTTTTATGCTACTTTCAGGCCTCAACTCGAAAAAAGTCCATGGAAAAATTCGTCAAAAAAAAATAGGGAATATTTTTGGATTTTTTGATTATTGCAAATATTTTTTCGATATACAATGAAAATAGAAATTTCTTGTCTTCGGTGACTTGTAGTGAAATTTAATGAAGAATATTTTTGTTTTTGACGTTATCGTTCTACAATGATGCCTTGTTGGAGATTTTCAAAGGAAATTAACAGAAAAAACCAAAGTTAAAATTTTCACTTTTTGTACATAAATTTCGAATGTAATATTCAATAGTTTACCCAGACATACGGTTTATTCCGAGACCTATCGGGAAATTTAATATAGAATATTTCTTCTGTTATTAATTTTACTTAAAACTTTTTATGTTACTTTCAGGCATAAACTTGAAAAAAGTCGAAAAAATCTTCCAACAATTATGGGATTTTTTTTTTGTAGGAATTTTAATCTGAAAATTTTGTAGAGGGGAAATCTATGATTGACTGGACTTGGCAAGTAAAGGTGGAAAGTTAAAACTTATACCGAAGAATTTTTTGAATTTATTTCTCTCACTGTATTTTTTTTTTTTAGTTCGGAATATGCAATTTGTGTATGTGTGTGTATGTGACTCTTATCATCAGTTTCAAATGATATTTTGCCAAACTGGCAAATTTTTCGAGCCCAGCATTGCTAATGGTAGGTAAGGTTCCATGAAAATGGCTGTAAGCCTGATGCTAACGAAAAATGATTTTTTTCTCTTTCACTCTCTCTCTCTCCCCATCAATGTTGCGGATGGTTGGCTTTCCATGGAAAACCATAAACAGTAATTGTCTTTCACTTGAATGTGAAACTTACATGTGGGAATTATGCAAAAGCAATGGAAATTATCAGTATTACGTTGTAGAGAAAAAATAAATTGGATGATTTTTAAGAGGACTGGGTTTTCTGTGTGGTAGGAGCTAATGAAAAGTTGTAAATGAAATTTAGGAAAATTCAAGGTTTATTTTTTTTATACCTCCACCATACTATGGAGGGTATATTAACTTTGTCATTCTCCTCGAAATACTCATGTCAGACCCAGCAAAGTATATATATTCTTTCGAACGAATTGAGATAGAAGACTAAAATTTGGCACACATGTATATTTTGCCAGTAGGCAGGTTAAGTTCGTAAAGGAACCATGTAGGTCCACGTTATCATATAGTTCCCATATAACGGTACCTCCCGATATTCGGTATTTTTATGATTTTAGCGACGTTTTTCACCGGAATTGTTTCAAATTTGGCATTTGAAGTTCGAAATGGATACTACAGCCTAAGATTTAAAAATGTCTATGCAGGTCCAGGTCTTCGAATAGCCCCCATATGCCAGTACCTCCCTATATTCGGTATTTTGACGATTTTAGCGACATTATTAACCGGAATTGTTTAAAATCTGGAACTTGAAGTTCGTAATGGTTACTACAGCCTAAGACAAAAAATTGTCTATGTAGGTTCACGTCTTCGTATAGCGCCCTTATAACGATACCTCCCTATATTCGGTATTTTGATGACTTTAGCGTCATTATTCACCGGAATTGTTTCAAATTACGTATTTAGAGTTCGTAATGGGAACTACAGTCTGTGACGCAAATTTGTCTATGCAGGTCCAGGTCTTCGTATAGGCTCCACATACAAGTACCTCCCTATATTCGGTATTTTGACGAGTTTATGTACAATAACCACCCAAATTGTTTGAGATGTCGTATTTGAAGTTCGTAATGGATGCTACAGCCTATAACAGAAAGTTGTCTATGCTGGTCGAGGTCTTCGCACAGCTCCGGTTTAACGGTACCTCCCTATATACGATATTTTGATGATTTTAGCTACATTATTCACCGTTTACTTCAAGTTTCGAATTTAGATATGATAATGACTTATGACAAACAATGCCTTTGTAGGTCCACGTCGTATAGGCACTAAAATAACGGCTATATTCGGTATTTTTAATATTTTAACAGAATTTTTTAAGTTTTTTTTTTTCCAAATTTGTTCCGAATGGTGGAGGGTATTCAAAGTTCGGCCCGGCCGAATTTACTGCTTTTTAACTTATTTTATTTATTTATTTATTATTATTATTATTATTATTTTTTTTTTTTTTTTTTTTGGAAAAAAAAAATCATTTTTGAGGATTTTACTTTAAAGACAAAAAAAAAAAAATAATGAGTCAAAATCCAACAATCGTATTGTCAAAATATATATTTTTTTTTGTAGTTATTTATTTATTTTTTACTTGCTTTTATTTTTTTATTTATTTTTTATTTTAATTTTTTTTGAATTTCTTATCCCCATTTCCAATTTCGTTTGATATGACAAATCCAATTTCGGATTTTTTTATATCTTTTAAGCCACATGTGTCTCCATTTCATACAGAGAGAAGGCCAAAATGTGGCCAGCCTACCCATTTCTCTCCATGCGTAACTGGTCTTTCGAATCCTTTTAAAACTGGCACAGCATGTGATTGTATTTCTATTTCATTTCCTCTCTCTCACACCTCTGTTGCTTCTTACCTAACAGGTATCTCTTTGAGTAAAAATTAAAAAAAATTAAAATGTAACATAAAATCCTCTGCATTCTCCAAGTCAAAAAAAATACACTAACAAAATAAATTGCCGACTCCAAACCATCCTCCCTCAAAAAAAGACAAAAACGAACATTTTCCATGTTACGTCTTTTTTTATTGCCGTCCTGTCCTCTTGTCCTATTTGCATTTTTTTTGTTGGTATACCTGTCCAATTTCATTGTTTTCACTGCCACCCAGCTTCGACTCTGGCTTCAGCTGGGAAAATGCAAATAGGAGACAACTGAATTGTTAATTGAAATTGTAGCCATGTAAATAGGACCAGCTATGATGAAATGCAAATGTTGTTTCTCCCTCTCTCTCTCCCCCTCTCTTCTACTCTTTCTGGCACTAGTAAGAGTATATTATCCTTAAAACATGCATGTAGATATTTTCAAAAAAAGAACATGGAAAGCAATGAATGAAATATTATTTCTTTTGTTATGAGATATGAATGTTATTTCATTTCAGATGTTAACAAAAATGTTTTTGATTTATTTTTTTTTTTTTTTCAGCAACAACATTTGAGATTATTTAAAAAAATTGTGTTTTTTTAACACAAACGAATTTTTTTATTTTTACTTTTCATGGAGGACTTGCTGTTTACAAAATGATTTCTCTACATATGGGCCTGGAAAACA